GCAAACTGGGACTCGGAGGGCTACGGGGAACGCAAAGCTCCTCAAAATGGCCTCCGGTTGCCTTGTGGGCACAAATCCTCTAAAATTCAGGCCTTCTGTTTGTTGTCGTGTATTGGGACATATGCTACAGCTAGTGTAATAAGAACTCAAACTATGCTATATTACATTACATCCATTCGCACTCGCAAACACCCCCTCAGGCACACATATATGTTGGCAGGATGTATCAGCATTCATATAAAGCTTTGAAACTTTTATCCCTCAGCATTAAGAGTAAAAGCTACTTAACTGGTACCTTACTGTTAACTGCAAACGTGCCTTAGAAGCAGCATTTCCTTAGATAACTTTCTTCTGTAAATATCACAGTGACCATAATATATCATTAAATGTATTTTGCTGAAGTGCGCAGCCAATAACCGTGGCTATATATATATATATTTATATTTAATTCCACCCACCCCCAAATCTCTTTAAAGAAAGTCTGTAAAAGCCGGTGTCGCAGTGTGAAAGCTTCCTTGAGCATAGGAGTTTAAACAATGTACCTCACCAAAAAAAGGAAAGAGAAACAAATGAAACAGCTGTAGGCGCATTATCCCATACTTCTACAGTGTTGTGTCTAAATGCTGTGCTGGCTTGAGAAAGAGTCTGTGCACGAGTCAATCTGTCTTAAAATACTGCTGTAAATATTGTCATTGGTTCGGTTCTACAGTTGTGTTCTCCTCTTCATCCCTCTTGGGCTTCCCTTTCTCCTCCTCCTCTTCCCTGATGGCCTGGATTTGTTCTGAAGATTGGTGCAGCGTGGATTGCTCCGCGCCTTGCTTCTCTGTCCCGGCTAACCTCTCCTCATCCTCAATTACTTTCTTCCACATTTTATGGTTCTGAAGCAGGTGCTGAGTGATCTGACAGTAGATTTTCCTCCTCTTGAACTTCTTCTTTCCTGTAAAATACCATGTGACGTTAATGTACTGTTTTCTGTGAGAGAAGAAGGAAAAGGGACTGAAGGTGTAGGAAGCAGACAGGGTGTACTATGACATATAGGAACTGCACCAACAGATTTTTAAACCCACATAGTTAAACAGTCTTAAAATTCAGAAAGCTATGCCTCTCCAGACCTCTCGGAAAGCAAACTCGTTTCCTGCACAGATTGAGCCCCAGCTTCATCCTATCATAGGCTGCATCCTACCACAGGCTGCACGCTGTCCCTGACTGTGCAGCTCACAGAGACATCTAGCGCTTGAATGGTTATGCATAAAACATGTTGCTGAGCTGTTTCTGTTCATTTTTTTATATCAAGTACTTAAAGACTCTGACCCACTGACTCTCTAACACACCCCCCCATTAAATTCTGCGTCCCCGTGCCAAAGGATCCCTGCTGATTGCCCTAGAAAAAAAAAATCCTGATTTTGTTTTCTCCGCATTTTACCTCTGATCTGAGCTGTAGAAGGATATGAATGAGCAAGCATTAGTAATCAAAGGAGGGAAGCCATTCCTGTGTTCCCTCTTCAAAGTCAGAGATTTACCACTCCACCATCGCAGTGGAGATGACCTTAAACCTTTGCACAACGTTTCTTCGGCAATGGAAGTAGTCATAAGCCAAATACTATCAGGGAGCTCGCTTGTCTTTGGTTTTGAAGCATCAGTCCCCTGCTGTTAACCCATAAAACATTTTTACCACTGGTAGTTCTCATGGCTTCTGACACAGCTGCATTAACAAGTGTTTTGCTGCCTGAAGTGTGTTTTTTTCTGTGTCAATATAGTCGGTCCAACAGAGATTGTTAACTCCTTAACAGAACAAAGCTTGAAAATTTTCCCTGGTCATTAACAGTGGCAATGTCAGTCACAGAACTGAAATAATAACCCCTTCAAAGACAACTGCTTATTTCTTTTTTAAAGAAGGTGACGTAGAGGAATGTTTTGTACCAAATAAATTTGCGTGGATTAGTATTTGCAGGTTGCCTAAAGTATGTCTGTGTCAGGATCCAAAACGTTTAGCCCTTGAAGCTTTTGAACTGGAAACAAAGAGCTTTTCACTGAGCACAGACCAAATCCAACTCAATCCTTCATTAGAAAGCCCTTGGTTCCCTGTAGGAAACCTTCAGGTTTAGCAGTAATAAGAAGCCCCTACCCTGCCAATGCCGCAGCAGGACATTCTCTCCTGGGTTTCCCAGGTGACCCCACATCTTGCTGCTCTCTGCAGACACCAGCGAGCACTTGCTGTGGTGTTAAAATTTGTCTGAATCACTAAAGACTGAGCCTGTTTAATTCTTACACTTGCATCAGAACTTTGGGGGAATTACATGCTCTGGTATAATAACAAAAGTGATTTTAAGATACCTTACAGGTTTATAACTCTTAAATTTATCTCAACTGCTTTAGTGAATTATCAGGACCTAGGTGAAGTGTTTTCTGCCAGAATTATATTTCCGCCTGCCTAAAAGGCATTTCCATCAAGAAAAAGATCTTCACCAACAGCTACACAACTCTTAGTATCTATGCATCTGACATCTCAACTTTTTATTTTGTTTCATTGAGAAAGTTTAGAACATCCAAAATTGTGTTGTTCGTAGGTATAAATTTCTAACGACCTGTAAGACCCCTATATCGTCACAAAAGATGCCATAGATTCCTGATTCAGATCCACACAGTCACAGGGAATTTAGGGAACTGGAAGAAAACAGTTTGTAACACGTTGGTATGATCGAGAAGATGAGCACCCCACATTTGGTAAGAAGGAAGTAGGAATAATTTGTCTGGATATTTCAAAACTTCTGATACATTCATTTTTAAGGTTTTGAAAAAGATAAAGAGCCTAAAAGCACCAGGCTGAATAGTAAAGTACTGTCAGAGAGTAAAATGTGAAAAAGAAAACAGAAGACCACTAAAAAATGGTCTGTTTTCAATGACCACTAAAAAATGGTCTGTTTTCAATGACAACTAAAAAATGGCCTGTTTTCAATGTGACAAGGGCTGATAACGGTCTGTGGTTTTAACCTGAAAGCAGCACTGTTGGACTTGACTAGCAGTGATAGAGAAGATAAGTGAATACAGAAATGAGGTGAAAGGAAACTAAGGATTTCAAAGTAACGTTAGACACGCCAATGGATAAATGAGAACATCTTTCATCTTTCTTTTTAATACAGCAATATCAGTTTCAGCCTTTGGGGTCTATGTTGGTTACCAATCGCATACGCTTTCCCCCTGGTAGGCAATTCCATAAATGCCAATCTCCCAGAGAAACAATGGCTCTGCCTATTACAGAGCTGATATAAGGTGCTAAAATAAACCTGTGTGTGCTGTATTAGTTAATGTTTGCTGTTTTCAACAATTTGTGCATGTGAACCTGCTAAACTTAAAATATGTGCAAGTGTGTGTGTGTGTGAACAACAGCAACGATTTCTTAAATACAAACCATATACCCCTGGCTCTTACTAGAGACAAAAGGTCAATTCTGCACATCAGGAGATGTAGATTTCAGTTCCACATTCTTATGTGACTTATTGCAATCATCAAATCTTTCAGCTTCTCAGCTTCCCCAACAGAAAATAGGGATGATACTCAGTAGGGCATGAAAGTGTGTGGGAAAGAACAGAAAAAGTGAGGCTGTTAAGAGAAAAAGCTATCTATCAGTATTTCACTAGCGCACTTAAGGCTGGTGCTTTCTAGAAGGGTTAGATATAGGGGAGGAAGAGAAAGATGACCCAGAGGACGGAAATAAAAGAACGGTAGTAGAAAATTCAGAGGGAGGAAAGAAAAGAGAGGAAAAGGTAACGCATGCAGGATTAAACTGGTAAAAGAAACAGGTCTACAGTTGCAGCCTTTTCTTTTAAAAATGACTTCCAGTGGGTTCCTGAGATCTCCTTTCAAGGTACAAAGTTTTCCTCCCAGTATGACAAATGTCAGCACTGTTGCCCTTCTGGAGGAGAGGCAGGAGACTATCAGCTTTAGTTACTGATTAGCCAGAAGGGCCAAGTGACGCAGCCCCCAGCCCACAACACAGCAATGCTCAGTGCCGACTCTCTCCCCACTCTTCTCCACACATTACCTTGAAGAGTTTTGCATTACAATGCTTCCATTGCTAAAAACTCTTTTACTGCATCAGTATCTCAAAGCCTCATTCTATTATTCGTGTACATCATGCTAACTCATGGAAATGATGAGTGCTTTCCTTGAAAAATCTCCCAACCATCCTTTCTTCATCTGAAATTGTTGCAGTCTACTAACATCAGTGCTGAATCAGTCTGAAATAGGTGGGTGATCCACCACCAGAAACCTCAACTGAAGGTAGAAGTGAGTAGTAGATATGAACAGCAATGTGTATCAGTCCTGAAACCATGGAGCGTCTCCATTACCAACGTAACTGGCTATATGCCAGCTTCACCAAGGACAGCACTGAATCACTGTAACTCTGGAGAGGCCCATGTTGAACCTGACGAGCTCGCAGTCTCTATGCTTTTACAATATGGCTGCTTAGTTTTTTGTCAGAATATGGAACTTGCTCTGTTGAAAAATGTAAGTGTGAACAACTTACTGGATTCAGCATTTTCACAAGTTTCCATTTCTGCTGTTTCTTCCTCTTCGTGCTCATCAGTGTCTCCTGATTCATCACTATCTTCTGTCCATTTTCCTGGCATCAGCCCCGCTGAGTCATAGGAGTTACATAGTGGTCCCACAATGTGAGTGATGAAAGATTCCTGGAGGTGTGCCAGCTGAGGAGCAGAGCGATCCATGAAAGGACTGATTGGCAAGCCCAGGCTAGCCTCTTCATCACCCTGGAGATGAAAAACAGCAGTAATATCTCTGAAGTAAATGAAACAAAACCATGTCACGAAAAGGAGTAATGCACATCAAACTGATTAAAAATAACGGAAGAAAAATAATTCAACTCTAATGCCACTTCCATAGCACACCAGCATGACATTACTACAGTGCCATCATGTCAAATGGTTAATCGACGTTACAGCTCTTTTCTTGTAAGAGGACCCACTACTGATAGCGTGAATTTAACAAGGATGTTAGTTGATGACTGTGCAAAATGATGCCCACCTCCCTTGTCCCGTACTTTACACTGTGAGAGCGAAAATTATCTTCTTTCTTTCTTCACATTATTTTCAAAAAATCCCTTCTGATTTTGTGATTGTTAGCTCACAAAACCTTGTAGTCAGCCACCTGTTTGCAGGGAACAAGACTGAACTTCTACAAGCAAGGGCTACCTCATTGAACTAGTTTTCTTACTAGTTTTGTCCTTACTATACATAACATGGAGAGGTCCTCTTGGCTTTGGGTCATAAGTATTTGTTTCCTGGGACTATTAGAATGATCCCTATGAAAGCAGAGGTTACTCAGAAGCAGCAAATCTTTCCCATAAAGCTTTTTCCTAGCTTTTCTTGGAGAGAGACCGTAGAGGAGAGGTATAGGAAAACTTTTTTCTCCCTCCTCTCATGATGTAAAAGAAGGTAAAACTTTCCTGCAGAACCAACTCTGATATACCCACTCATCCCTATCACAGTAAAGCTTCTGGTGATATCAATGAGTTTTCAGCTGAGTAGACATGTCAAGACTGGATGCCACCTCCCCAAGAAAAAAATCTAATCCCCCTAATCAAGCCTGATATGCAAATTAATGTTTTAATACAATAGAGAGATCTATATTTGAGAATATAGATTAGAATTTGGAGAGACATTTTCAGTTTCCATCATGTTACAGATTGCCTGAATTTATCTCCTTGAAACCTAAATTTTCCAAAAGTCATGGACAATGTATCTGGTCAACACCCTGTTGACATCTGGGGAGGCCAAAGAATGAGAGTTAAATTTTGAAGCATGTACGACAAATCTCTCTTTTCCTTGTGTTCTGTTTTGTTACTTTTATAATAATCTACCCCAAAATGTTATGTTCAATCATTAAACATAAAATATTAGTGTTAACAAAACACTGAAACATGCCATCCATTCTTGAAACAGCAAGCAAATTAAGAAGAGGTGGCAGCTCGTTCTTCTTTACAGTAACACATCTGAGATTTTCTGGTTGCGAGCTGTCAGTAGTGGGAAGAAAGCTGGCTATTGAAATGTTTACAAGTTCTTTTTTCACGTTCTATTAAAACATGATTTATTATGTGAAACATCTTGCAGTGCGTTTTTTGATTCTTTTTAATATGTCTAACCTGTCTTCAAATAAGTATGCTGAGCATGTGGAGGGAAGAAAAGGAAACATACTGTAACAATATGACACAGGATTTCGAATGTTTCTATGCAACAAGTTTTTAATACGGAGTTTTTATTTATATAGGAGTTAAATTCTTCAAAGGAACTGGTGTTTATTAAAGGAAGTTCAAGAAAGATATTTCATTATTTTCACAGAATAGGTTGAATGTACCTATGTGTGCTTTTTGATAACAATTCTAGGGAAATTCAAACTTCCCATAAAATTCTCCTTTTTAGAAATGAGAAAATGAAGACTTTTCCCTCCTCAGAAAAAATCTGATGATCAAAAGCATGGTGAAGATGGTTTGATACACCTCTCATGGCATATCACATTAAAGAAAATCAGATTTTAACCTAGGTTAAATTAACTGAGAATCTAGCTTATCCTCCTTAATGCCAAAAGTAAGTCCTAGGAAGAAAACGTTCTCCGTTTTCAATCCCATCAGTATCTTATCAGCATGGCAACTCATGCCATGCAAAAAAACCAAAACAGGAAACCCAATGGGACGTACTGATTTCTCAATACAGTGAACACACATCTTCTATAAAACAAAAACAAAACCAAAAAACCCTAATAGCTTACTGACTACCTGACCTCTTAGAATTTGCAAGCCAAGAGTTCAAATACATTTGCCCACAATCCCCATGCAAAAGGAATGTCATTAACAAAGATAACGCATTATTCTGAATAAAATTTTGCAGAAATGATAAATCTCAAATGTATTTTTTTTTAATCACAGGATTGTAAGAAAGATAATCTCCAACAACCCTTTGGAGCAGCTTCCAAGAGCGTGAAATCATTAGTAGCACACCTTTCTGACTGATGGAAAATAACCCAGATTCCTACTGTGGAACAGATAACACAGTATCCTCCCACACGTGTTCCTCCCAAGCTTGATTCAGAGCTCACTATCCAACACTTTGACGATATTAATGTATTGGAGCACTTACTGCCCTCTGACGTTAGTTATGCTGGATCAAAGGAGAGTCATACCATATATCTGATTAACAGGTTTTGTCTGCATGCAGTAGTCACCCACATAAGCTATGATCATCACCAGAATTAAGTGAAGTACAATTTGTTGGGAGAGTTGTAATGAAAACATTCAAATATGAAGAAAAGCATTTCCTGAAAGAAAATTTGGGAGATGAAGGTTGACCACTGTTGTTATGGGACTCACTCTCTTTCTTTAAGAAAAAATGAAAAGAAAAACGGAACCAACTATACATGTAATATATGTAAGAGTCATTGCTCTTTTTTTTTCTCAGATCTGAAATAAATGAAGGAGTTCCAGGTCAATGTCTGAATTTTGTCCCTTTTCCCATTTCTTTACATACTCCAGAAGGCATCGGCAGCAGAAAATCCTGGTTTTTTTCCGAACTGTAGAGTACAGTAAATTTAAGGGAAGATGAAAAGGCTTTAAAAGGGATTAGTCTGTGACTTCAAGTTACTGCACAGCCTCCCTGAGAAGTCTGTGGGGCATCTGGTTCAGTGATCTAGCCTGCTTGCTTCCTCTCAAAAAGACAGGATGTGGAGTTTAGTCTAACCAGCACATTCAAAATATGTTCCCACTCGGGAAACAGAGGAATAGTGTGGGAACAGCCCTGTCCCTTACACTCAGCAGGGCTAAGTAGGTTATAATGAGAAAAGGTTCAATTAAGGGCTCCCTTACACCTGGCAGGAGAGGACCAGTGCCTGGCTGTATTCCCAGGTCTTTGTAAATCAATCTGTGGCTGTCCTTTCTCGTGCTACCATCAGCTGAATCTTGCATAATTAGTGTGGTTGTACTGACAAACCTTCTGCAAGCTGAAAGTGTTGTCTTAAAAAATAAAGTATGAGTCAGGATCAATGTGTAGGGAGCAGATATGGTTAGTCTGTGATAAACTGAAAGTCAGTGTTATAGTCATGCTCTGTACATAAACGTTCTGTGTGTGTGAACAAAGATGTGGCCTACAGGGAAGCTAGAATAACACCTCTGCTCTGTTTAGATCATCTCAACAAGGATGTTGTGTCCAGTTTTGGAGACCACATGACAATAAAAGTGTGAGCCACCTGGAGTGACTGCAGAGGAGAGCAATGAGAACCAGCTGATGTCTTGAAAAGACATAGAAGGAAGGATGAAAAGATAGTTTGCACTAAAGACGACTGAAAGGGAGACATGATGACTGCCAACAGAAAAAAAAGAGGAAAGGAACACTTGTTTGCCATGTCCACTGTAAGGATAGTGCCAGACTGGAACAGTTAAGCCTGCAGAAACCCCATCATCAGAAGTCTTTGAGGACACATCAGAAGCTTCAGTGACAAATGGACTTTCACTGATCCAGCAAAAGGATGGACTAGTGTAACTCTAGTCATCCCCTTCACCCCTATTCTCTGTGATTTTCACTCACCACCAGCACTAACATGCTGCAGAACTGTTTAACACAAGACGTGCAACCAGCAGATACCACTTTGGACATGCATTTATTTACCTGTTCATAAAACTCATTGACAATGCCTTCTGTCCACTGCAGATGCAAATCTTTGCATTTTGCAGGCCCATTTATGTCAGCTAGTTTGATGCACATTTGGCAAACCAGCAAGCGGTCGTTCTCATTTGTCCAGTCAATTCCAACGTCATCATTCACCTAGTACACAGAAAAAGGAAAACCATGACAGTAATCCTGGGTAAAAGGATGCATCCACAGAGGAAGTTCTGCCCTGGGATATCTTACAGTATATTTAGCTATTTAACAAAATCACAAGTGTAAGCAGGTGAGCTAACCCAAGCTGGAATTTACAATCAGCTGTAGAGAAATATGTAAAAAGAAAAATAAGTGAAAAACAATGAACATTGAGATAAATTATGAGAAATTAATATTTAGCAAATGATGTGCATGTTTGAAAGCATCTGCTAGGAAAACAAACAAACATGACATTTTCCAAGAAGTTACGACCTAATTGGTGTACAAAGATAAATTACCATCAAATGCCATGCCGATTTAATTTCAGTGTGAAGACGTATGTAACAAGCATATTTCCCTATTTGATCTAAGTATGTCTGAAAGTATTCCCTATCTTTTTCCTTGTCTCTATTTTTCCCATACCTCGCACAATAAAAAGTGATACAGACTCTCAACTGCTCTAAAATAAAAGCATCACCTTAAAGAATCACAGAAAGGTTGAGGTTGGAAGGCACCTTTGGAGACCATCTAGTCCAACCCCCCTGGTCAAGGCAGGGCCAGCTACAGCAGGCTGCACAGGAACATGTCCAGTTCAGTTTTGAGTATCTCCAAGGAGGAAAATTCCACAACCTCTCTGGGCAACCTCTTCCAATGTACAACCCCCGTCACAGTAAACTCGTCCTTTCTTATTTTTAAATGGGGATTCCTGTATTTCAGCTTGTGCCCATTGTCTCTTGTCCTTTCACTGGATACCACTGAGAAGAGTCTGGCTCCATCTGCTTTGCTCTCCCCATCAGGTATTTATACACATGGCTGCATCCCATCAGGTCCCATGGACTTGTGTATGTCCAGTTTTTTTAAGTGCTCCCTAACCTGATGCCATTCACTGAGGATAAGTCTTCACCACTCCAGACTTTCTCTCCCACCTCAGGGGCCTGGGATTGATGAAGCCAGGTCTTAGCCACAAAGACTGAGGCTGAGAAAGCATTGAGGACTTCAGCCTTTTACATCTCCAAACGGTCAGTGATACCAACCTTTACTGCCATTAGCCACATCTTCCCATCTCAGCCTTCTCTCCTAGAAGATCTCCTAGTGTGGGAGGGGCTGTCTTCCACTGCCCACTTAATTTTCAAAATTCAAATCCCTCCTTGAAACACAGCTTTAATTGTCAAGTTTGCAATAGTCGAAAATTGATAGAAAGTTGTTGTGTTATGACTAGATGAAACTTCCATGTCCTCTGTCAGCAGGTCTCCCGCCCCATACAGCAGTGGGCCCACATGGTGAGGGCTTTGCTTTTGGTGTACATGATCCAACATAACTAATGTCAGAGAACAGTAAGTGTTCCAAGGCATTGATATTATCAAAGTGTCGGACAGAGAGCTTCCTTCATTATTTCTTGTTGGTACTTTCCAGACTGCAGGTTTTCTGGTGGGAGGATGCTTACATTACATGTGTATGTCAGAGAACAGTAAGTGTTCCAAGGCATTGATATTATCAAAGTGTCGGACAGAGAGCTTCCTTCAAGAGCTTCTTGTTGGTACTTTCCAGACTCCAGGTTTTCTGGTGGGAGGATGCTTACAGTACATGTGTTTACACTGACTTCTGTACAGAAGGGTCTCTCTGACTGTAGCCTCAATATACTAAACTACAGTTCAGCAACCCAATCAATAATGTGATCACTTAGAGCTACTTTTATCAGTTATAGCACCTCCACCCATATACAAACATGTCAGGTCTGCTCTCTGAGACCACTCTGGTACAAAAGAGTACTTTTGCCAACCAAACATAAATAATCTCTTCTTAAGTCAGTGATTACTCTGGGAAAGCCAGGCTTAGCCACAAGCACTGGTTAATATGTTCACTTTCTCCTCCAATTTTTATTCCATGCATTGACTATTCAAGCAATAAAGAGAGAAAAGGAGGTTAACAGATGTCCTTACAAATCTACAGCAAGCTGGCAGGACATGATACGTCAGACTGTTCTCCTATTTATCTGCAGTGTCTCAGGTATCACCTTGCTTGGTTACAACAGTGGTTACACCTACCTTTGCCCAGCCTGATAGATTTAAGACAAATTTAGTTTTCAATATCCACAATTTACGCCTAGGACTTTGGTCAAGCTTGTCCTCTTCCACAGTTAAGACAGTTAATCTCTGTGACAAAGCCACAGTAATCACTGGTTTAGCCTGTCTTTTTTCATTCCTTACTTAGTTCACAGAAGTGAAGGTTTTGGTCCAAACTGTCAAATTCAAAGGATGTATTCAGACAGCCTAAATTCCCCATGCTTTATTGTCATCGTAGCCCTGACAGATGAGAATCTGCCAATACTTTTCAATACTTTATGAGGAAATTAGGCCAGTGAAAATGATCCCAGAGTTTAAAATTAAGACCTAAAGAAACCCCTCTGATATTTTTGGGACATGACTAGCAGGGGTGCAGAAGGAGTTCAAAATTTATGGATCTACAGATCAGTCTACCCTGGATGATAATTTAAGGCTTTTCTTTACAGATTCTTAAAGACTAACAAAGAGAGAGATGTTACAGGGAAATGGAAAACAAAGCCAGTCATACATCTGGAGGTTTCCAAAGTTCAGGATACAGGTCCATCCTAAGCAATACCACAAGAAAACACTTTATCTATGTCACCGAAACAGGTAGGAGGTCCTAGTCCTGGATGAGAAACACACTGTGCTTGGTGTGTTTCTCACAAGGAACAAGAAGGTAGTACCAGCTCCAAAGGCAGGTATCATCTAGGTAACATGCCAACAGCTTTGATGGATGATGCAATTTATTAAAGTAACTTGATAGGTGGTGATTTCCAATAAGTTAGGTTGAAACTGTACAATACTTTTTAAGAATGGTTTCCCAGGGTTGCGATTTTATACTCACTGAATGGAGCGTGCAGGAAAGATCTTTAGTGACCTTTCTCTGGGGTTTATACGTTTGAAACAAAGTTGGAAAGAAAGACCATGCTTTCATTGCATTTGGAATTAGAATTTCAAAATTGTTATGATTTCTGTGCTTTGACAATATAACAGTACGATTAAACCAATAAAAATTCACATGAAGTATTTAGCCATTATGGAAACTTGGTAACACCTTTGATTTTTTTGCCCTAAGTGCTTTGCTAATAGGTATAAAGTGCCAGTGAACAAGAAAACAATGTTGAAAAGTAAGATGTAAGTGGGATTTGCCTTCAAATAGTCCATAATATCCTTAGCCTTAAACCACTTTCCGAAAAAACTAAACATGTATAAGAAAAGAAGATGTGCCACTAAATTTAAATAAGTAAAAAATAACAGAAGTGCCAGATTACTATTCAACAGAATGTTTTACAGCAGCCAAAAGGACATTCAGAAGAGTGAGCAACACAACAGCCTTTCAAGCCTTTTCACTGTGATGCTACCAAGCCCCACAATTTTTTCTGACCATCCACCAGAAACCCAAATCAATCTTCTTACCTTGGCGTTGAATTTGGCAACAAAATCAAAGTGTTTCTTTAGGTCAGTAGCCAAAATAGCCTCAATGACGAGAAAGCGGAAATGCTTGAACTCCACATGGTCGAGGTTGACCAGGAAGTTGTACTCTGGCCTTGACATGAAAAGGTTCCAGGCAGCAGCGGCGTGGTGGTTCTCCAGGACGGAGCGGTCGTTGTACAGCACCGCCTGTTAAAGCAACGCGGGCAGCTGAAAACTGAGAAACCTCTTAGCAAAAGAAACACTGCAACGCAGAAATGAGAATGATGTGGGGATGATGCATGAGGGAGGTTCAGGTTTGGCTGATTTGTTTGTGGTTTTTTTTAAAGAACTTCTCAAGGTTTGAAGATGAGATTTTGGCAGGACTAATAGCAGACACCTGAATTGTTGTGATGGTGAAGATTTATTGGAAGATTGATTTGAAAAATCTGGGTCTTTCATGCTCAAGGGTCTTTGGTTCCTGACTGAACTGCATCATATGACAATAGATTATTCTGTTTCAGGCCACAAATTAATGACTAATATAATATAGGTGTGTGCTTCCCTCTTGCTCAGAACTAACCTCACTTAACAGGGATTATTGTCTTTGGTGTTTGTACCTGGCAATTCTGTCCATATTGGACCGATTCCAAACACAGAAACAAGTGAAATTCCAGTTTGCAACCTGACAACACACACTCAGCCTTAGAGATTTCTCAATGCTAAAATTGAAAATTGGTTAAATCTTTACCAAAACATGATGCATAACTCTCATAGTGATGGCAATTCCGTTCAGAAACTAAAGAAAGATCTAGAAAATGGACTTTAGGGGACAACAACCATCCAGGAAATCTCTCCACTTCAGCACAGTAAGCATTTGAGATAGATATATTCTGCTCCCCAGGCCCAACTCCTGAGGGCAGATTTTTAATACAGCAGCACTTTATCATTACTGGAAGCTGATACTGCTTGTCATGAAAAAGAAGAAAAGAACTAGATGCCAAATACAAGTTCTGCAAATTTCAGGTGATACCAGATTTAAACACCGCCCCCTCCCCCCCCCCAAAAAAAAACCCCAACAAACCAAAACCCCCCAAAATAACAATAGTAATTTGAATTTTTCCCCTTAATTTATTTTCAAACTAGGGACAATACATTACAGCTAATCATCTAACTTCCCTTGTTGATTTTTACAACCACAAAGCTATAGCTATAGCACTCATTTCTTAAAAATAGATTCAAGGATAGCATACGTCTTCTATCAATCTATTTACCTGGCCAGAGTATCAAAGTTCTTGATCACAGAAAGGTGTTGCAAGGATGAGAAGTATTACTATCAGTTTATAGACAGAAACTGATACAGAGCAAGTTCAGGTGACTTGCTCTTGGTGAGAGAGGAAGTCTGGATCCAAGTTGGGGAGTAAATCGAGAATTTCTGCATCCCTACCCGACTTCTCACCATTAAGCTATCTTTTTGTCTTTCCTTGTCCATAGAAATATTTTTCAGCACAGTAGGCTGAAGCCAGGCAGGTCAGCTATGTAAAGTAAGGAAAGATGATCTCATAATTAAGCCAATAAACAGTGACTCAGACTGCTGAATTCAACTCCCAGCATTGGCAGCAACTTCTGTGTAACCTTAGGTAAGTCTCAATACTTTGTTTATAAAACTGAGATTATTTTCCACTACCCTCCCCCTGCCCCGATAGATGCATAGTGTAAAAATACATTCATAAAAGACTATAGCTGCTCATATTCTATAGGAACAACAGAAAATATGTTACGATCATGCACAAACTAACTTGCATGGTGCACTGTCAACTATACAGGTGTTTTTTGTTTTATTTTAATCTTTCTGTGCCTTACTGGGTAGAATAATTCTTCCTTTATTTCACAGTCACAGATTCTCTACCAGTCAGCAGAGCATTAGCTTCTCCTTCACTGAGACATTTTATCAGTACCTTTCTTAACAGTTCTATTGACTGAGGGTGGTGAGGGTGTGTAAGAAGACTCTTACCGATAATCCCCAAGTGAAGTGATTATTTCTGTCACTTTGATAAGCTGTTTCAAAATATTTGGTAGACTTGTGCTTAATGGAAGCCACAGGCACCACTGGCAAGGAGAAGCTGTTACCAAAGATCTTCCAAACTTAGCAGCAACGCTGCTTGAGATTCATTTACCTGAGGGGCACTTGTTGCTACCAAAAAGGCATTGGTCCTTCCTGGATGATCATAATCATGCATGGCTGCAGCTACATAAAGAGCCATCAATTCAAGGGCAGGGATGTTGCCAGCTAGGCATCCATAGCTGTCATCTGTAGGTGTGTATGTCTTCGAAAACACATAACCCATATGGCCATGAGTAATTCCACTGTCAGAATCTGAGCAGAAATAAATAAATTAAAAAAAAAAATCCTTATCACTTTTTCAGTGACTTACTGAAACAGACAGAAGCAACAAAGCAGGAAGAGGAGGAGCAAATTTACAATACATAACAGAAGAGTAAACACATCCTGACCTCAATGCTTTCTGATACTGTGCACATGATCCAGTGCAATAAAGCACACAATTGGAAAGGAACAAATTCTGATCCCACCTGGGGATCTTCCAGCCATCCAGCAGAGCCTGTTCTCAAACTATGTAAGTTACTACCAATAAGCCATGGATTCACGGCCATGCTGGAGCTTTGTGGGCAACTCGATCTTCTCACTCCTTCCTCTAATTGCTTCACCGTATAGATTAGTCTATGAGACACTAACAGTCCTTAAAGCAATGGACTAGCATTTATTAATTCAATTACCGTGCATGTTTTCCAATCCAAAGGTCTAGACTTTGGATCTTTGCTGATAATCCTCTTAACAGCCTCTTTTTGAAGCAGCTTGAACATGCCTGTCAGAGGCAGATACTGAGTGAGATGCTTTGCTAATTTAATCTGCTTGAATGGATCTTAGATATAGCTGAATAATGTCTTTCAAATAACAAACACCAAAAAGCCCCAAAACGCAACCCCTTTCATTCCACCGATTTCACCTTACTCACAAAGCCTCCAATAACCCTTGCTAATAGAATTTTCCAAAAATAAAAATGTTTCCCGCCCTACCAAAACATCCCGCGGAGTTTTACAAATGATACATATATGCCACACAAACACCACCAAAAAAAGCAGAAGTGGAAGTGGTTTCTGAGGAACAAACTCCTGCTTTTCCAGTAACCCCCTCAGAACTCCCACAAAATACAGACAGGTCCTCTAGTTGCTAGAGCTGAACCTGGAGAAGTTAATATAAAGATGCAATAAGAACAGCTTCCTGTAAGGAGCAATCATAAAACAGCAGACGAGTGGTCTTGCAAACTAGTTGCAAAATGGTAACAAGCCTCTTTCTTTGGAGACAGTGAGGGAAGAACACTTCACGACAGCCAAGCAGCAGCTAGTGCACGGCACTACCCGTATGCCCCAGCAGTTTTGTAATAGCAAAACAATGCAGGGTTTAAAAGTCTACACTGCTTCTGGAGCAGCGTTGCAAAGCACTGCTAATACAGTTTTCCTAGAAAAAAAGCTATTGTAAAAATCAAATGGTGACAAACATCTGTTGTTCTGGGTGACCACAAAGGCTTGCATTCACACATCGTTAAATGTAAAGTATTAGGTTTTGGAGGACCAATTCCATTCTCTTCAAACTTACACAAACGTACCTTAACACCTTCAACATCCAACACTCTACTGAACTTAGAAGTCTATATAATAACAAGTACTGCACGCAATCCTCAATTGTTGGCTTTCTTACAGCAAATATCATGACAAAAACTTTAAAAATACAACATATATACTCGCACATTTAAATATACCTGAATCACTTGCTGACCCGTGATCATTAATCACAGTTGGGAGTCCTGGGATGGGCTGAGTAGTAAGGTACCAAACGGCATGTAGAACATCAGTTGCATGGATTCGATTGTGATCTGTGATACAAACCAAATGACCCTGCTATTAAACATGAAGGATATTTCCGACAGAGGGAAATCAGCACCATCTAGTGGGTACCGTGTGCCAGTCAATCAAGCAGAGACAAATCAAACATTATCACAAGCATGAAAAACAGCTGTATTCTGTAAATTCTCAGTTTTTCTTTTACTAAAGTTGAAGAGCATTCAATGGTAAGTCTCACACCAGTCAAGAAAGAGAAAACAACAGAGAAGCAGAACAACAGGGATCTGCAATGTAGGAAACTTTGCAAAGAAACAAGGAGCCTGACTTGTGCTACCAGCTCCAATCCTTTACTCCAGTGGTTGCCTTTAGCCAGTTAAACGCCATCGGGTAAATATGCATCGTCAACCTCTGATTCAAATGAAATAATCTACTTCAGTAGCCAGACCTCACTTAGCTTCTAAACACAAGGCAGGTAATACCTACCTGACTCTACTTGAGCAAATTTAGGTGCTGTGCTAGCAGCTGCACTGTAAAAATATCAAACTCAGGATACGTGTACACTGCACAGTTAAACCAGGTTCTTCCTGCAGTTTTCTGGCCAGAGGTAAGAGTTCAGGCCCTGGATCCTGTAATCTGGCTTACTACAAGCTCTCTTTGCAGAAATGAGAGATAAGAGTCACCCCACCAAATCCTTCAAGGCCAGATAAACTATCCCACAGTAAACACAACTGGCTGAAAAAGAATCACACGCTAGTTCAGTACAAAGCATCAGCTAAATACATGAGCCGGCAGTGTGCCCAGGTGGCCAAGAAGGCCAATGGCATCCTGGCCTGTATCAGAGTGTGGCCAGCAGGAGTAAGGAGGTGATCGTGCCCCTGTACTTGGCACTGGTGAGGCCGCACCTTGAATACTGTGTTCAGTTTTGGGCCCCTCACTACAAGAAGGACACTGAGGTGCTGGAGCGTGTCCAGAGAAGGGCAACGAAACTGGTGAAGGGTCTAGAGAACAAGTCTTATGAGGAGCAGCTGAGGGAACTGGGGCTGTTTAGCCTGGAGGAGGCTGAGGGGAGACCTCATCGCGCTCTACAACTACCTGAAAGGAGGTTGTAGTGAGGTGGGAGTTGGTCTCTTCTGCCAAGTAACAAGCGATAGGACGAGAGAAAATGGCCTCAAGTTGCGCCAAGGGAGGTTTAGACTGGACATTAGGAAAAACTGCTTTACTGAAAGAGTGGTCAGGCCTTGGAACAGGCTGCCCAGGGAAGTGGTGGAGTCGCCATCCCTGGAAGTATTTAAAAGACGTGTAGATGAGGCGCTTAGGGACATGGTTTAGTGGGCATGGTGGTGTTGGGTTGACGGTTGGACTTGATGATCTTAGAGGTCTTTTCCAACCTTAATGATTCTATGATTCTATGATTTTAAATGCACGCTAGCAAAAAGCAACCATGATGCTGAAAGAGGGGTAACACTTTGCTGCACCAGGACGAAAGCTTACACCTGGGGTTAAAGCACTGAAGGACAAGAATTTCAGCTTGTGATTCAGGCTAATTTTGGGCAGAGCACAGGTATCTTCTACAGTGACTAGCTAAACACAAAGAAATCTGCTAATCTAAATGATAACCTGTGGCTACATTACTGTTGCTCCAGTTCTGGAAAGATGCATTTCAGAGGATAAAGCACAAAAATGTGGGACTCCACTGCTGGGTCACCCCCATTCATAAAACTCACAGTAACTGGCTACATCTCCAGGTAATCAGTCATTTTAGTTGGGGACACCTTGGTAATGACAGTCAGTCATGTGTCTCTCATTGGCAAACCAACTGCTGGAACAGGCTTGATGGGAACAGGTGAAGAACTAGGTTATATTAAGAAGGTAATGGTCAAGAATCAGGGTAAAACTGGAGATTATATGTATCCCTCATTAGGAAAAATTACCAATACCCAAGTCCAGAAGCCCTCTCTAAGAAGTAATAAGTAAAGTTGACCGGATTCATTAGGCGTGAAAAAACTTCTCTTCTCTGGGGGAGTAGAAGGGAGTGGCAGCAAGTGTGTAAGCAACATGGTTTTATACCTGCTGCATCCTGAAGACAGGCAGTGTGCAGCTGATGGAGGGTTTCTCAGCACTGATGTTGAACTTTACCCTAAAGCCCCTCCTTTTATGGGAGAAGAGGAAGGAAGGAGAAGATCTGGGATGGAGAAAGCACCCTGGAGAGCCATATTTGCCCTCTTGCCACTGCTAGGGGATGGATAATGCCTGCTCCTGCTGGGAACAGCCACCTGCCTCCTCCAGAGCAGCACTGCTGAGCCCACATTTCTAACCCCTGCCATCAGTGGGGCAGCAGCCGCCGGCCTGCGTTTCCTTGGCACTGGCAAAGGAGGGCTCACCATCTTGCTGACCCTACACTCCAGTGCTCGAGGCAACTGCCTACTTTGTCTACGCCTAAAATCAGCAGTATCCTGCCTGCCAAGGGCAGACGGGTGTAACACAGAAAGGTTTATTATATTCACAATTTGCAATCACTTTGCTTACTCACTAAACGTGAGCATGATGTCATGCCACTTGGCCCTTTTATTTACCCCTTGCTTTCCTCTCTTGCTCTCTTTGTCTTCCCTGTGACCTTCCCTTTAAATACTTGTTAGTGACTGCTAGATGAAATTTTTAACAGCAAAAGTGTAAGCAGCGTAGGAATGGTTATTTTTGGAAAGAAGAAAGCAAAATAAGGAAGGAGTCTCCTCTCCCCTTCCTTCCTCGAAGTACTAAGAACATCTCTCCTGAGACCCTAATCTTCTCACGCAAAACCTAGAGGATGGCTCTGCATAGGGGTCTAACGCTTTTCTCAGGAGTAAAGGTTGGATTAGCCTCTTGTGAAACCTGTACTGATTTAATCCAACTGGGATAGTCACCATTAGTTTTGTGTGAATAACCCATTCTTCAGTTCAGCAACCAGAAGAAAGAAGTGGTTAAGTCCAAACAAGTTGTGTTGGTTTTTGTGTTGGTTTTCCACAGAAACGAAAAACTAAAAGGTAAATTAATTTTCTACTAGACAAAATATTCTGCTTTACTAAAACAAAGCACACTTAAGAAAAACCAAGGAAATGAAGGGCTAGATTCACAAAAATTCCTGAGACTCTATGAATAGTTAAATGTTTTAAACAAAGAGGAATGGCTCCAATAGGACAGACAGACTGTGGGACATCCACCTATAATCCCTTCAGGCTATAATCTGCTGCTTCAAATCCCTGATAAGGTTCAAACACAAGGAAAGATTTGAAATTTGGTCTCTCACCTTCCCAGAAGAAAGTCCAAACCACCTGGGCTGGGAGGCATTTTGAGGTAGCTTTCCTTCAATCCCTCCCACTGCAGCCGTTCCAACTGGTACTTAGTATTTTGAGAGAGAGACTACATGACTTATTAAACCAATGTTTCAGACATTTTTCTGGGAGGTGGGAGAAAACAGGGTGTCCTATATTCTTCAACAGTGGGTTATCTGCCAGCTAAAGGGGATAATAACTCCCTCTCTCCTCCTGGAAAAAAAAAGTCTTTTGCAGTTGAAGCAGTTTGGTAAATTTGATTTGAATTAGTAACTACTTTGGGGATGACTGAAAGCATGTTTTTCAGTGAATAAATGATTCACACTGAAAAATATCAGCCGAGCTGTAGTTACAGAAGAACAGGATGCACTCATCTACCTGGCATATTTGTTCTGCTTTACAAAGCTCATCTCCTGTGGTAGCATAGCGCTGCTACTGTGTAAAAATCCAAACTGCTTATGGGTGGGAAATTTTTCAATAAACTCCAACTGGGGCACTGGGGTACACTTGCATCATCAGGAAACAGTTCTTTGTACCTATAGCTTTATATGGTTTCAGGCTTGCACAGAATTTGCCATGAATTATTATGAAACAACATGAAATGTTAAATGCAATGAAAAAAGACAAGAGGCTGTGGTTCAGCACCAGTGTCTAACTAGAGAGCCATCTATTTGGTCGTGATGTAGCAGAATAAAAAAAGTACCTGTTATAATGAGAGAAGGCAGGCTTCAATAATAAAATGTGTGGAAAATACCCAAAACTTTAAGGAAGCATCATTATCTGCTGGGAATTTTTACTTACAAGGTATCTCTCGGTATCCACATTCCAAGGCATGAAAGTAGTTCATAAATTCCCTCACTGGTATTTTAAAGGTTTCAAACAGCCCCATGTCTTCGAAAAGCCTGTATGATACCTGAAAAAACAAAACAACCATGCTGCTAAATAGACCAGAAAAACATTAAAAATTAGATATAAAAATCGTTCTGTCAAATTACCCCATGAAAACCTGCTTTCCTGGTAGTATCTTCTCAAGTATATCTGACTCAGCTATACTTGCAGCTATTTGCATTTCCACAGGGATGTGGCTACATAGCCAAACAGACAAGCTATTAGTACCAAACAGTCCTCATTACACCCTTCCAGATGTTCTTCTGTTCCTTTCAGGCATATGGATCCCCCAAATTTTGCAAGCACCTCAGAAACATACACACATAAAGGAAGGTATCCAGAGGTCCTTAGTGTCTTCGGAAAAATTTCCCCACAAACTTCTCCAAGGAGCATCCAGGAGCCAAATCAATTTCCAGAAAAAGGGGGAACAAGTGAAGGAATGACAAAAAGAGAGAACCATTCGGATCCTATGCATTATCTCCTTTCCCTCTCCCCCATTTTGGAAGTGAAATGGCAAAAGTGACTTCAACAGGATTTTAGAGGCAGCAAGCGGCTTAGGAAGCAGAGCTGCTCCAAGTGTTCCTGCACGGAAAGGTAACTGTAGACATCCAGGAGACGATATACTGGAAGGGACAATGTGATGGATGAGTGAGGGGGCGTTCAGGAGAGATGAGTGCTCAGAAATGTAGACAGCAGCTGCTTCAAAATGGACACTTTTGAAAACAAGTTTGAACTTGACATACAGAACAATGGGACATAGTAAAATTACTGCCTGACCTTTTCACTTCTTTCACAAATTGGACCCTGAAGCCTTTCAGCTTCTTTATTTATTTACTGCTGTTAGCTAAATTCTGTCCTTTTGATGCCATCTGTCTCATAATGATCTGCCTAGAGCTAAGCAATTTAAAACACATTTGGAATGATGAGTGCTATACCAATTAGAAATTGTTACAAATTATGTTTCATGTTTCACACCTGAATGAAAATCAAACACCTATCCACGGCCATTTCTTTCTGCATATTGTGTATATAGACTGCAACCTGTGAGTCGCACTTGAAGTTTAATGAACAGAATTCAAATGTCCTACCACTGTGGATTTTTACAGTAAGAATAATAAAAAAGGATATGAATTTGCAGCATTAATGATCTTCCCCCCTGCCTCCCCTCCTCGTCATTCCCTATCAGGAAAAATCTGCATATGAACTAACTCTGGCACAGCATTGCAACAGGCAGTGATGATGCGGAGACAGGTTGTGTGTGGTGTCTGACACCACATGGGATGGATGACACATATCTGACCGTTAGGGTTCTCCTGGTGGCCACAGCTCTTACCTCTGTTCCTACCATAATCGTTAAGTGCCACTAGCAATGCAGTCAGAAAAATCACTGCTGGTGGTAATTTCTCTTCGTGGCCATGGCTGTTGGCTCTTTATAGCAAAGGAGAGAAGGAACAACTGAATAAAAGGTACGGCCTGTAGAAGGCAAAACTTTACTCTCTGAAAAGCCCATGGGATCCTCCTGTACGGCGGCAAAGCAAAGAGGCTGACTTTATGCATAATTTGGATTAGAAACTGCATAGAATTCTGTTTATCTATCTGGAATCACGGCTGAAGTAAATCAGCCAGGATCCAAACATTCAGCTACAGAGAGAGGAGGTGTTCTACACTCTAGTCTTTGATCACTGAATGGTGAGCTTCATACTTCCAGCAAAATATCCCTGTATAAAAAGAGGAAGCATAAAGAAATACTATTCTGCAGAAACAAACCTTTCTGGTCTACCCTACCCATACTGGACAGGTATGTTAAAGCATGTCATAAAAGCTATTTTTCCCCCACCTTGGATTTGGGAGGGGCAGGAAATTCCACAGCAGTTGAAAAGAAGCGAAGCTGACTGTGATGGGTATGAATGATAGCTCTTCCCCACGACTTGGAGTAAAATGGTATTATTCTCTGTGGTCATTAGAAAGCGTAAACAGCCAAGCAAGTAATTTAGACATTTTTGTAATGTTTTCTTTCTTTCTCTCTTTCTTAGCAAATGGGGAAGAGGAAGGGGTAAGGGCAGGTCAGAAAGAGGAAAAAAGGGCATTGATGTCTTCCAGAAAGTCAACTAACTAAATTCTTTCATTTTAATAAAAAAGAAAAACTGTGCAGTTTTGTTTATTCATTGCTCTGGATTAACCCTTTTTAAACATTTCTGTCTTTTAAAATCCTTCCTTCCCAAACTTCATGCTGCTTCAAGAGCTCCCTGGGAGTTACTGAACAACGGGCTGAGCACGGTGCCCTCGCAGCCACAGGATGGTCCCCACTGCTAGGGACAAGCCCAGGGAAACTCCGACGGCTGCCAGGATCTTGGCAGTGGGTGCTCCACACTGCCTCTTCCCTCCCGCCTCAGGAGGGAAGCCATTGCTTGTCTCTGCAATGATTGCTAACGCTTGAATGAATCATTTATAACTCAGATACTTCTGGTGGTGCTGCCTGAAGAAGGACAAGTGCTTCTCCCGAATGATTCCTAATGGAAGCTTTTTTGGAAATGGGGCTATGTTAACCACACATAGCTCCTCTCCTGGGTGTTGCAGGCACACACAGATGGCTCTTGTTAGAGGACATGTCCAAAGTTTAGGTTAGCAGTTCCCCACTCCTTGTTTGCAGGCAACCCTCTTGCGCTCCTTTTTTGCCTTTTGTATTTTCTTTCTGCAAACATGTTTCTTTTAAGTTGCTGGCACCTGGTCTCTGGCTTTGACAAACACTACTCCTCACAAGGGCCGCTGTGACAATCCTGGGAATATCCCATCCCGCAAGGATTGATTTCCCCTCGCTCCTTCATATAATGGCTGCAGTTTTTCTCTGTAGAAGTCATGCATGATGACCAAACATTCCTCTTGGCACTATCCAGAGACCAACTCACATGCATTGCAGTGATGCCACCCCGCCTCGACGCTGCTCATGCACCGAGACCATAAGAGCATCACCAGCACTTCTCATCTCTATGGGCCCAGGAATAAAAGCTAGAGAGAGACCTTGACTTTAGCCTATTCTTTTTCACTTTATTTGCTTTCCAAAGAAAATGAGTTTCTCTTCCACAAGTTTTCGTTTTGGAGGAGCTGTAAGAAGAGTGTCAAGTGTGACTGAAGAGATTATCTAACTTTATGGTCTGTTGTGAAGCATCAACTCAGTTGGAGAGCTTTGCTGTTCCTTTCTGAAATGAGACTGGTATGTAAATTCCTCTCGAACCCCTATCATGCATATTTGTTAGTGCCACATTTAGAGTGCTTTCCACTGTACTTTGCACAGATGCTTTTATGGCCGCTGACTGGTTTGGGGTCTTTTTATATGTCTAAATCAATTTAACATTCCAAAAAGAAGAAACAGACATCTCAAGCAGCTTTAAAGATGCTAAGCCAGCATTTGCTTTCTAAACTGAATACTTCCCTAGAGGCACGTGTCAACTCTGCTTTGTTCCATCTCATAAATTTAACCTAGCAAGGCAAACATAGTTAATTCAGCTTGTTAATTTACTTATTTTTAATGGTTGAGTCCATTTAATGGCAAAATACAGAGAATAAATCATGAGAGCTTTTGTTTTCCTTTGTTTGTAATATCCCGGGATTTAAAAATTATACAAGAAAAAGAAAATACTTGTAGCTGGAGAAGAAGATTTATTTATTTTAGTTCTCTTATTTCAGAAAATAATTTTGTTAGGAACATATGAGTAGGTGGGGGAAAGAACTATCTTTATTTTATGAACAAGGTTGAACTTGCTACATTCTGCTCTTAGGGAGTGGGAGTTATTACAAACAGCTGTTATAGAAAATGTTGAATTTTGATCAGAAATATTATTTATTAAAGCTACACTATTTTATTTCACAGGCCTCATTTTGTGGCACTGTAACACGGATAATATGCTCAGAACCTGAGCAGAAAGCAGATGTTGGGAAACAGAGTGTGGAGCTTTAGTGCAAATTGAGGGAGGCACAGGGGAATTGTCCTGAGAGGTACAGAACTCCATGCAACTTGGTAAAGTGCTTAAAACCTATAGAAATACCTATGTAAAACCAGAACAAATTTTGGCTCATCCAAACTGTTGGTTATGCCATTAAAAAACAAGTTCTGTTTTTCCTCATGTTTCATTTTTCATTCTGTAATGTGCTTTGCTGTTAGAAAACACCATGACCAATATGATCTAGAAGAGCATTTTAATCACATGCTCACTGTCTAGTGCAAAAGTGTCTCAATGATCATCACTGAATTTATATCAATATCCACATCCAGCCACAGTTTGCCTATTTCTCTAAAATTAACCTAGAGAGCTGGCAGGCTGGTTAAACACAGATGTTACTTGCCAAGCTAGCTACAGAACGATAAAAGGCAGACCACAGAATAAATCTGAATTCATGCTGTGGTTTTCTTGGTTGACCACTGCATAATTGAATGTAGCTGAATAATAGTTAACCACCAAGGGACCAATATTTGATACAGCATTCTCCGGAGCTTGTTGCACTGAGATCTGCCTGACACACTAACCTCTGTGTTTGTGGGGGGTGTTAATTGTCTCATATTATACCAATTAACATAATCTCTTCTTTCCAGCACTCATCACTACATAAAGTCTTGTAAAGTGATACTAGATCAGATTCTCTTGGGGTTTTTTTCCCTTCCATCCCTAAATATAATTACTTGCCTTTCCTGTTCAACCAACCTCAATACTTCCATAAGGAAAAATGGCTAATTTGTCAGCATGCCAGGAAAAGGGGCATAACAGAGCAGAAAGTTCAGCCAAGAAAGTGATTTTGAAAGTGACATTAATTGTGCTGGGTAGAGACGGGCTGTGTCAGTACCTGGATCAACTTAAAGGAAAGAATGAAAAACGGATAGTTGAAAGAAAGACTAGCAAGCTCTCACAACCTGATTCATAGTAAATTAGTCTTCACTATCTAATGATGATATGAATTTACTATCAAAGTGCTGACTCTTTAAAAGTGAGGGAATATAGCAAGGACTATTTTTTCCCCCATTTCCTGAGACCTTGCTTTCTTGCACAGCCTGACTGAAATCTCCAGTATAAAAAAGGACTGAAGTTCTGTATTTCCTGCATCAACTGAATATATTTACTGGTTAGCCCTCCCATGCTGAACCCCATGAGAAATCCTTTCACAAAGAACTCAGTAAGGGGTGGCAGCACCTCCTGCAGAAAGGTTTATGTAAACTCATTGGCAGAGAGCAGCGGGCAAAATAGGTGTGTGGTTTTTTCTTTCACATTTTTAAATTTAAAAATATAGAAATTCAAAAGTAAGGAATGTAATGAGATGGAGTTCACACTGTCAGCTTTGAATTAGGTGGCAGGGATCATAATTCATTGGATGACCAGCTTTTAAGGACAATGGGTCTTAACACTACTTTGTCTAAATCCATCAATAATCTAGCCAGTCATCGCAAACAAGATATCCTTCTTACCTGACTGAGAATCCGACCACATTTCTTTCCGATTTTTTCCACCAGATCAAAGATTGGGAAGTTCCAACTATTTAGCTGCTCCATCAGGGGATCCAAGTTTTCCATAACCAGAGGCTCAGGAGCAAGTACAGGCTTGTCCTATGCCAGAAATCAGAATAAAGAGAAATTTTAGTTCTGTGAAGCATCTCATGCAAAGATTTATGCTCTTAAAAACTAAGGGCACATTAGCATCATCTGTAAGCTGATGTACTTGACTCAGCTCAGCAGAGATGTCCCCATTTCTACCAGCCCTGCAGCTAGTCACTCTCCTTTATAATTTGTTTCACTCGAATGAATAGGAAATGTATATGAAATATCAGTCTCTGAACTTATCCATGAGACACATTAATTCGTTCATTCATAGGAATCATTCATTCATTTCCAAGGGAGTGTGGCTTCTTCATTGTAAAATTTGCTGCAGTACAGAGGGCAAAGCGTTCAGTTTCTGCTTCTGCATCAGGACCCATTCATTATAATCTAGCATGGCTAATGGAGCTCGGTCCAAGTGAAGACTTGTACTTCTTAAACTGACCCACCTGTTTTTCAAGGTTTGCAAATAAAAGATGGGGTGTGCCCCTCCTTTCACATTTCTCCCTGTATACTTCCTTGAATTTCATTACTACTAAGAAACTGCAGATGAGGAAATGCCAAAATATCTCAAGAAAAATGCCTTCTCTCAGCATGTCCAATTCCAATTCAACAGATTACAATAAATTTTTTAAGAGCTCATGCCAACTTAAATTTATTAATTCAGTTGTACAACAGGCTGTGGAAAATTTAACTAAACAAAGCTTTCCCTCTACATCTCAGTCAAGCTTACAGCTGAATACAGTAGTCGTGAGAAGATCAGCACTTGTTCACCATACTGCAATGCTCTTATGTTCAAGACATACACCAACAATATCATCATGCAGCACCCTCAGACAAGTGTTCATTTATTTTAAAATAAGGACCACTGTATGTATTAGCCAAGATTGCAAGGCCATCGAGAAGCTGAAGTGGCTGAACAGGAAGACTATATATCATGCTGGTAGTCTGAGAAGATAGTTTCTCTTCCTTCCAATCTATTCCCTTTAAAGGCAACGCTAACACAGAAGCCAAACATTTCAGAATGCCTAATGCCAGATCCGTGAACTTATGTTTATTCATCAAAATAGATGGTTAGTGTTTCACAAGTGGCCAGCGCTTAGCAGCTCTCACACGTTTCAATGGTTCCTTGCAATTCTTGAAAGTCAATCCTCCTACTGCAAGGTAGAAGCCTGCTGCAATTGTTGCTTAAAACCATGGTCACAATCTTTAGATAGCCCTAGAGTCTTTTTTGTGGGTAGCACTAGAGTTTTTTTTGTGGATGTTTGGGTCTTTTGGCTGGTTTGTTTGGTGTTTTTCTTTTGTTTGTTTTTTTTTGTTTGGTTCCCCCCCCACTGTCAGTATACACTCAATCTATTGTGCGAGTGGAAATTAAACAACCTACCTCACGTGGTATTAAGGGATGCAGAATGATGGTCTCAGGCGTGTACGTCCTACAGACGGATCCCTTCCGTGTCTGCTCTTTGGAGCAATCTGTCTCATCATCATTTTGTACGATATCGCTGCTGTCACTGTTGTTGGTCTCATAGTCAGAAGTGGCTTGAGCAGGATCATCTACAACACAAATCACAAAGCTTGTTGTGTGAACAGCAAGGATTGCATCAAAGTCATCCTGTGACCTTCTGAATAATAGCAACAGGATCTCTGACTCATAATACATATGTGCTGCTTGGCTGGGTCCAAAGTCAAACAATCTGTCCAAAGGCATTAAAGCATACACCCTGCAGAGTGTGAAAAATGGTATCAGGGATTGAAGAGTGAGAAAAATTTTGAGGACCGTTACTTGAGCTGACTAGGCTAGATGAGGGAAACCATATTTCCTTCATATTTTAACTCTATTCTTCATTAGCATTTTGGACATGTTGTACATACAAAAAGGAAAGGAGCCTCAAAGAAAACTTGTATGGTCTCACTTACATATGTTCTCCTTTTCTGACAGACAGTGAATGATTATTGAATTTTAAGGGATGAGGAGTTTTTGATGGACAAAGAATTACCTGTTCTGTTCAGGGTGTGTGTGGTACCATCATTTCTATCTAGTGCCCCATCACCAGCTTCTATTTGGTTATAGGGTCTGCCACAGCTGAAATACATCAAGAAACATGCACAACATAAAGAACCATGCGCATTAGACAGTCTTATGTAAAATGATTTCCTGGCTGACAGTGTAAGATTATGTCATACAGTATAAGCCATGGTACAGGATTCATTCTCCAGACAACATTACAAGAGCGAGTTGAACTTTTATTGGAAGTCAGGAATGAAAAAAGACAAAAATACACAAAGACCTTGGATTAACTGGCTGCCACCATTAAATTTGTGTTGCCAACAGTAACCCTATACTATGTGATACATTTTTTAAATGAATTTTTTACCTCTAAGTTTATCAGTACAAAAAAATCCCCTGGTGTTGTACAGCAGCTGTCCTATAAACATGAATTAAAATGATGAAAATGTGCCAGAGTGCCATACAATCTTACATAATTCAATCTGAACACAGTCATGATGTGGCTTTACTCTCCTTTTCTTGCTTAAAACTTGAATATGTTCCTCTTAAGGAGGAAAAAGGTATTTTTGCATTACTTCAGTGACAACATACCAAGAACCAAGGGGATGTTTTGGACAGAACATGAGGTGAGTGGTCTGGCATCCAGACATTTAGCAATGAAACAAGAAGACAGAGTTTGCATCATCATTCCCAGAACAGAAAGACATTGTGGGAGGTATCACAATATCATGGCCTTTCCAAATGACTGGCTCTTCCCTTCCATTAAAATGTTTTATTCCTTGTGTGTGATTCCCTTTAAGCCCTAAATGTGAATTCAGTACCAGTTGGAACATTTCAAATTACAATGTCCCAATACGATTGAGTCTAGGACCTGAAGGAACAATGATATATCATGAAAACATGAGTGAACTTAACAAATCTGAAGCCTCATTTAGCAGCATTATATCAAATCTGTCCATGAAAAACTGACATTTTAACATTTCTTTCTCTGGTTCGAGTCAGTATTTTGTAGCATATCTTTACATAATAGCCTTTGCAAAGCAACTATTACAAAATTATTTTGTTTGATCAAACTTTGTACTAGAAACTTTGCACCAATATAAGTTCAGCATATAAAAATGGCTGAAATCCTACTCCAGATGGCTTTTGACTGGGTCATCCAAAACATATTCTGCAGCTTGGTATGTCCTGCAAACATAATGAATTCCTGAAAGAATTTTAAATAAAAATACAAATCTGTTTACAATGATACTTGTAGTACATAGCCAAGCAAATAAATCTTGTATCACTCAGGTTTAAAAACAAGATGAAAAAAATGTATTAATCTCTCTCTCCCACATTCTTTGTGGTTTCTATAAGGTCAATGCTAACAAGCCAAAATGTAAAAGTAAAAGAGAAAGAGAGCCTTTGATTGGTTGTAATACTACAAGGCTTTTGCATCATTATGAGCGTACCTTCCAGAACATATGCAAACTCACACTGATTTAATATGTATGGTCCACATAAAACACCATATTAAAAAAAAATTACTGAGCTACCTAGTAGAACACTTGAAATCTGCTCTATGTCAGAAGTAAACGTGCCCATGCAACTTTAACTCAATCCCCTTCATGAACAGGCATTATAATATACTTCTTAATCACAGGATTTTTTAACATTTTTTCCACAGGATTCCTGCCTCATCCCCTAAGCAGAATTACAAATGATTACCTACAAGTTATTTTCACAGAATTGCCTAGTATATGTTCTTGTTTAATACAGTTTTCAAACTCTGCTGTCCTACCGCATTTCACTTTGTAAGTTAAAAAAAAAGTACAATAAAACTGCTGTCTTGATGTCACTGCCTCGGTGGATCTGATTTAAAGCACTGAACCCATCAAGAGTTCATTTCCTCTGTTGTTGTTGGGAGAAGGATTGGTTTGGTGGTGGCAGAGGTTTGCTGACTTGGTATTATTTTGTAGCAAGGCAGGGTTTTTGGCAGTAAATGTAGGGGATTGCATACCATGAAGACTAGCAAAGTACAATGTGAAAGCTCAAACATTAAAAGATTTATTTCCAGTGTTTGTTAATTTAACTCTCTCAGCTTGTCTTAGCTATTTAATTTCTACGGGTGGTTTTTTTTTTTTTGTTTTGGGGTTCTTTTGTATGGTTTTTGTTGTTTTTTTTTTAAATTGTGCTTACATTACTAAGGGGTGCATTATTTATGTGCTGTTGGTTCAGCTTGTATCCATGGATATGACATCTCTATATACTAATGGCTAGAAATGTGACAGTGCTTTTGATTTTTCAATGGACATTAAAGGGACAGTGACTATTAGTAATAGTGGATGCCAATTCTACTAGTAGTCTTTACACCATAATATTTTAAATAACGTATTTGTTTCAAATAATCAACAACAAAGCCTATGCCAGCTATGTAACTATTTGTAATGGTTACACATTCTAAGCATTTGAAAACAAGGAAATTAAGAACCTAAATATGCTATACAGCCTACGCAGATCACATAAGACAGTAGCCACATAAAAGCTAATAAGCATTTTACCGATGATTACATTGAAATCAAAGTCTACAAATATAAGAAAATATATTTCATTACTATCTACAACAACCTTACATTAATTATTTTTTTTGACATTTTTTATGCAACTGTTAACTGTTCTCTTTAATGGAAGGCTTCCAGCGATAATTGTTACTAGTTAAAGTAATAATATTTTGTTGAAGTAGTAATAAAGGCACAGTTTAATAGGACAGTAGCACATTTATGGTATATTTCTTATGTGTAATATACTGTTCATTTCAAATGAATCAGTGCAAGTCCTAGTTTTGCAATACCTTTGAAAACCTTTGAAAAGCATTTAGTTTCTACTTAGTCACCTAACTACATCTTAAAAGCCTGTCAGGATCCTAGTCTGAACTCCAGTGAGGATGACTCCCTTGAGCAAACTTGCAATCTCAATTTTGACTTTCTCACACCCACTTCCAAGCCCTGCACAGAGCCTACTGAGATACATCAAAAGTCATGTGACTGAAGCCAGAAACTAAAAACTATTTCCAAAGATAGTCAAACTTGATAACATTTAACCCAGTACATTGCCTCAGATGACGTGCTGTCCTCTGGCTAACCAATAATCACAAATCACTCACTACTATGACCAAAAGTAACGTCTAATGAGTAAGGTAACCTTGAAACTGCATTGGAACAGGCTTCTAAATACCAATGTTTCCCACTGTTCTGAACTGGACACGTATTGCAAACTTCAGTAATCTAATTTAGCAAGTGTTAACGTAAGATAAGCAGAACAACTTTTCTTCCAAAATGCTGATTTTGCAGAGCAGGTCTATGTAATCTAATAATGGGCTACTTTAAAGTGTGAAATTAAACAGTGTTACTGTAACTCTCAGCAGTAGAAAGAACTCACCTGCAGCTGATTTCCAAAAAAAATCCCAATGCTACATAATCTGACTCTGCCCTAGGGAGGGCAGGATCCACCCCTTCTGAGAAAGTGCTCAAAAGTGTGTAGTCTTCAGGCATTGTTGGAACACCTTTATTAGAAGGCTACAGCTAGCAGCTTTTAATTCCTAGCAGTCACATTTTTCTATCAAACATCAGGTGCCTGTTGTGAAAGACTTGGCCTGTGACCTGAGAGTGACTCTTCGTGTTAAAGGCATGGCATAAGAAACACAAGTTGTTAACATGAAATCCAACTTTAGGATCTGCATGTTATTGGCGAAGAATTATTTTATGAATCAGACTGTGCATCTGACATGAGTAAAAGCTGTAAATGTAGCTAACCGTCTTGCACTTTAAAAGCACTTTGTAGCATCAATCTACACAATTACTCATATACTAATAACTGCTTAGATATGGTGAAATATCAATACTGCAGCAAATCACAAAAACTTGTATGTGGGCCAAACGAGCTTGTTTGTGAGAACAACGTGAAATGATTCCAACGCATATCAGATTACTATCTTACCTGCTGCAGATGACAGAGGGGCTGATAATAGGGTCTGACAGGCTAGGTGCACTCTGAGTAGAAGTTAAGACTTTGTGTGGCTTTAAGCCTTGCTTGGTGTCAGCATCTGTAGAGTCTGGAAATGACACAGAAGATGTTTTTCCAGTAGGACTTGTGGCAGGCGTCCCCTGAATCGGTGAATGGCATGGGGAGGTGAGAGGTGAAATATTTGGCGGCATACCTGGCAAGAGAAAAGAAGACTCTTGTCAATTAACAGAAGTGGCAGATGGTTGTATGAGTTCACTGTGCAGAAATACTCCTCTTGAGATGCACAGGTACCAGCACAGCTTCCAAATGGAAAGAGAAAACCCTCCTCCACTCTGAGCCAAGCCCATGGCTATTACAGAGAGATGAAGCTCCATTAACATCAGCCACTTCTACCTGCTAAAGATCTGGCTGAAAATATGAAGCATATTCTCCCTGTTGAGTAGGATGCACTAACTGGCAGGCATGAAATGAAAGGCATGTGTTAGTGGCATAACTATTGGTATCAACATGTTCTAGCAATAGAGACACCAAACTCCAAATAGGCAGTTTCCAGACCCATCTGCAATTTCTCGTTACTTCACTGTTTCCATCTGTAAAGCAGGGATAAGAAAGGCCTACACACATTCCCAGCAAATCTGAATTTCTACATGTGTGAAGACTAGCAATAAACCAAAAAAAGCAATATTTAGTAGTCATACATTATATAAATATAAAATATTGCACTTACGGTGCCATTTCTGCATTCCTCACAGATTTTGGCCTTGATCTTGTGCAGCTTGAGTTTATTTTTCAGTATCTGTAGCTCACTATGGGAGACTTGTGATCGTTACCTGTACCACATGGTATTGTACTCCTAAGCTAGTGTATCAGAAACTGCCAATATCCACATGCGCGAACACTAGCAAGATGTAGTTCTCTCTGTCCCCTTATTTAAGCACTGCTAAGATGAAATGCATCAGCCAGTCCAGTGTTTGAGACAAAGTGCTGCCTTCTCTTCGAATCCACTTTACATTTTCTAGTCTCAGACAAAAAGGTCCCATTCACAATAAAGTGCAGGGGAGCAAAGATAATCTCTCTTAGAAGGAAATGCATGTACAAACTTTGTTCTAAAGTTTGTAGGAACTCAGCCCCAGTTCATTTACCATGTTCATCTTCAAAGCCAAATGATATAAAGAGCTCGGGAATTTTAACTGGTTTTATGTTTGAATTGTACCCACTATCTAAATACATTCCAGACACAAAAATTATCTTAGAATAAGGCAATATATTGATCTAAGTTTAGGAAATACTAACCTTGCAGGATATATGTGTACAGTTCCAGTGGTTTTTCCTGATAATAACTTACTGTGATATGAGGTTAAAATATGATTTACTGTTGACAATCCAAGAGTTAAAAATAATCTCTGACAGTTACTACACTGTAATTTTGAGATATCCAACATCTCCTAAGTTTTGATTAGAGTATTTCTTCAGCAAACATGTGGTATGTATTACTATCTTAATTTAATGATTGCAACTAGGATATTACGCTAGTCTTGAGATCAGAAACCTACAGCCTACAGAGCAATTAAAAAGTTATCAGATGGCCATGACATATGGAAATTGCTTTAAAATACAGAAAGCCTCTGTTTCACATTTACTAATCCTTTGAGATCTCTGCTTTCCATCCAACAAAATACGTCTTTAGAAACATTTCAGTCTGTTAGTTGCACGGGGGATTGAGTTGGATTATTATCTATCTTTGAGCTATATGTTACCAGGTAATCTTCATGACTGTTAGAGAATACAGTATATATGGTCATCTTTCAACTATTTAAAGCAAGTCCTGGGAATTTAAACAGCAATTTTCACAACAATGTTTCTAATCACAGCTGGTTTTCTACTGCTAGTCTGGCCTCCTGTCTCTTGAAATATGTTTGGTTGTGGTTTTTTTTTTTTGAAAGAGTAATTTTCCAGAGTAGGTACCCAAAAAGAAATAATTTTACCAGAAAAATACAAACCTACTTTCAATAATCCAACATTTAACCATTTATTGGCAAAAGTGAGAGAAAATGTGTCTTGCTACAGCAAGGAATTTTGAACAATCAACATAAGGGAAGATGAACAATACAGGGAGAACTTTTTTAGGTACGTCCATCTGCTTAAGTCTCCAGAACGTTTACACATGTGCAGTGTTGAAGAAATAAAACAGTAACTTCAATGTGATATGAAATTACATATGAAAACACTGGAGTTTACCTCAGAATTTTGCCAAAATAGGTATAGTTAGCAATATTTTAAAATGTTAATGCTTTCACGCATAATTAAAGCCACATTTTGTAAATTAACAGATTTACCTAGACCAACTTCTACCAAGAATTATTATATATTGCCAATGGAGCTATTATATAAAAGTCTAATTTGTATTAACTAGTGCAAATTGAAGCAATTCTTTAGCTGGAACACAAAACCAAATTATAATTAAAAGTGCATGATTGCAAACAGTCTAAAACATCAGAATATCAGTCTTCTGCATAAAATGCTGAACCAAAATTTTTACTCCTGTGAATCAGTGCCCCTAGGAATTGCTTGTGATGGAACGGAGCTCTCCCTTCATCACTGGGGAGCTCGTGTTGTTGAGCAACAGAGATGACTATTAACACTTTCTGGAAGCAGGAGAGACTAAATGTAAAACTGACTGATGGGGTTGGTAAGTCTCATTTGCCATGTATAAAATATTACACACACACACCCACCCCCCTTTCAAGTTAATGGGTTCATCTCTGAAAATCAGAAGTCCAAGTTGGATTTGTTTTGTTCTAGAACAAATTCCTGGATTCTTGGTACTATATCTCCATTATTTTCCAGTTTCAATTTTATTCATTTGCCTACATGCCTATCATCTTTTAAGATAATATTGTGTTACTTAATCTTCACTGTGGTATAACAAAGCAGCTTCTGTACAAGAGGAGATTAAATAAACTTTTCAGTTTGAAAAGGAGATGTGATGTGACAGTGCTAGATATGTAGAATAATTGTGCAGCCATATCTTCAAACCCATCTCTAAGTTTGGGTTCTCTGACTTTTCTGATGTCAGTCCTTAGGCACCTTATCAATTTCCATCTGATGTCTGGGTGGCCGAATAACATTGTCTCAACGTTATTCCATGTTTGGAAAAAAAAAAAAAGGCTGATTTAAAAAAGGAAGGCCTTGTGATCATTTTGAATTACAAGTTAAAGTATGGGTAAACATTACTGTATCCTGCATTTGTACAGGGAAGAGAACCACGCTACTATGGATTAAGACTGATTCATCCTGTCATACTGCACATTTCATTACCAATTAAGAAGTCACCTTCTCAATTTCTTTCCCTCAGCTAAAACAGGAGTCATTTTTTTAAAGGCCCTAAATGCTGCGTAAAACCCCCCATATTTCTCATCTCTAAAAATCAGTAAGAATTACCTGGACTTTCTCAATAACAAATATACAGAGATAGACCTCTGAGTTATAATGGCTGTGTCTTGGATGTGTTTGCGTAAGACAGGTCAGCTGCTGCCTACAGCTCTGAATGCCGTTATGTAGGTTGTGCTTCAACAAATCTCAGTCAGGCAATATACACAGACAGTTAATTTAACAAATGTTATAGAAAACACTCTGTTCTCAGCCCTGTTGTAGTCAAGGGAATTACATGGATATAAATCACAACACGATTTAGTACCGCACTTGCCACATCATGTCATGACTAACCTCTATAACTCATAAAAGTCAAAACATTTACAATGGCATCACTATGAGCTATAACATCTTAAGCCACTGTTTTCTTTTTAAATAAAGGAAATAACTACATTTATATTGATGGAAAAATAAGAAAAGACACAGATTGGACAGAGACCAAAAGCAGCTGCATGTGCTAGTCATGGGGAAGCAGATAAGCATGCCTGACAGAGCCACAGATGCCCACTCACCTTGCCGGCTCTGCCTTTTGGCATTCAGGTGGTTGGTAGAAGACATGGCGTAGGAGGTGGAGAAGGACCTGCTCTTTGTGATTGTCATCAGAATTGAGCTGTTCCAGGAGTCAGCGCTGCAAAACCAGGGCACAAACAAGCATCGTTCGACACAGTAAAAAGCCTAAATGGCAGATCTTAAGAAGTTAGGAGCCACAGCAAGAAGTATGCGATACTGAGATAGCACAAAACCTGACGAGGAAAACAGCATCTATCTGCTGGCTGAACTGCTATTTGTGAGGCGCTCAGTATTGTATTCAGCAAAAATATCTACAATGCAGACACTCCAAAGCTGGACTTCCTTCAGTGCTCAGGCCTATTCACTTTATTTATACACAGATGTCTTCATTATATTGTTCTGACAGTACAAAGAGGCTTAAAAGTTGACTTGAAATAAGTTAAATTTATATTCTCTTTTAACGCCTCCTTACAACAGCCAGAAGTTCTCAGTGTAAATGAAAAACCAGTCTCCTTGACTCCTCTGCTGCAACCGCCAAGGCAGATACCCAGTAACCCTTTGGGCACTGGAGGAGCTCCTCAGGAGGTTGGAAGAGCCCTGCATTGCTGTTTGCTAGTGGTGTGCCTCTTCTCTGGGCAAAGCACTTCATGCTCTAGCCAACTGAAATGCATGCTGCATCTCAAAAAAAATCCTAATGACAGACCCTGAAGACATTGGTCACTGATCCAAGAGAAACTCACTGAAGGAAAACAGGGTGCATGTGTCTGTGTGTGTGGGGAACAAATGCTGGTCTCCTACAACAGGATGGGCGCATGTTTTTGGCCTTCAGGCTATAACTTCTGTGTACCAGAAGAGGGCAAATACTTCTGTAAAGCAGGAGAATTGTATTTATCATTGTTTTCCCGAATGACACTCATCAAATGTCAGCTGCTTGCAAGGACATGGCATTGGCTCTTATCATGAGGCCCGTGACTTCTCTGGATAGATCCGCTAGGACTCTCAGGCTCCACATTTCTCCTCACAGCCTCACATCCAAGTGATGAGATGAAGGCAGAAGCAGCCTTTTAAAGCAGCCTAGTCCCAGCTGAACTTGAAAAAAAACTTGGGCGGGGGGGCGGGGGGGGAGCATTCTGAAAGAAAAAAGCATGTAACATTCTCTTAACTCCACAAACACCTTATTGTTTTGGAAGAACAAGTACTACCTACAAAAATATTTGCTGGTTGTCTTCATTGGTCCAAATTCCTATAATCTGTGGTGAAGTAAGAGAAATAAAGAATCCAGCTGTTTTTTTAATTTTTTTGTTTGTTTGTTTTATTTTGTGGTTCTGTTTTTTAATTGACAGGAAGAATATAACACACTGGCCCACTGTAAAGAAAAACAAAATCAAACCAAAACAAAAAACCCCAAACCACATCCTTTGATTTCTTAAGGGAGAACCACTGGATATAGAAGTGACTGAGAGAAGGAATGTGGAAGCTCTATTATTTTTCCCAAATCATTTGAAGCTATAAGAGGACCATGTCTTACCAGTTTAGTGACATGGGGATGGAAGAATACAGGATTACTAATCTTAAACAGAGATTTAAGCAGGATTTTTGCAAATATGTGACTATAGAAATCCAGAGGTGATGTCCCAGAGGAACACGTTGCAGATTTTGTAACTGCAGAATCTGCCACAGGGCAATTCCAGTGTCATTCTCCTCTCCTACCCTTCAAGCCATGAAATGTTCCTTTCTCTGTGACCTGTGGCATGCTTGAATTTGGTACAGAGGAAGTGGCAGACAATCAAGAATTTTTTTTTTCCCTTCAGTTCAAAATTCTTTTCCTTGAAAGCAAATCTGTATTGCTCTGCCAAAATTTTTAAAGCTAGACTTATAGGATTCATTTTTCCCCTTTCTGGAATACACATTGTTTCTCCTACTGTAAAAGAAGAACTGCAAACAGTAGGCTGGGAGGCTTGACAGAGCTATAATTACACAATTGGCGACATTAAATGTAGGAAGAATTGATAGCCTGCTTAGTTGGCTCATCATGCAGAGTTATATAACAACCATAGAAAAGGACCAACAATAATATTTAATTGCTCTCCTTCTCCCTCTGATTCCCATCTTAGGATGCTTACATACTACGTGAGAGTCTGGGATCAACAGTATAAATCAAACGCACCCTGGGAACCACAGGCCGGTGACTGAAGAACATTTCCATTTGGTTATAGCTTCTTTATATTTACTTCTACTGAGATACATGGGACTCCTCACAAAGGGAACTTTGGCTAACCACGTATTTTTCTTGCACCAGACATTCAGTGTACTCTGCTGGCTACCTTGAGCACCCAGGCTCCCTGTACAAGAGCCTCCTCTGTGGGAAAGGTTTACAACTCCGGAAGAAAGGCCAGTGCTCTGGGGCTACATTAACCCAAGCTATCCAAGAGCAAACACTAGGGATGTTGGACCTTCTCAGGTCCTGTCTTCTTCTCCACTACCAGCACCAAATTTTGAATTGCAGAAGACCATGTAAGTCTTCTGAAATCACATCCCTAAATTTTCTTCTTGAATTCGGTGCCTTTGCTCTGCTCTTCCTTTCCCTGCAGCAAAGGATGTTTCCATGCTCTCTCCTCATCCACCAAGATGATAGCCCTCGCTGAGGTGGGGAGGGGACCTGAACTTTATTCTCACAGTTCTAGAAGTTAGTTTCTAGAGGATGCAGAAGTGCTTTATGACCTGGTTTAATGACAGGACCACATCACTAGGTGTGTTCTTAGAAGTGATGTTCAGCAGCTGGGTTACTTGTTAGAATTTTTCCTTGGCTGGGCAATACCCATGGAAGAAACTGCTGCATATCAAGAAGACTCTAACCAGATATCTTGCCTTATTTCCAATTTTATTGTGCAATTCTGCACTTTGCTAGCATAAATAAATTTTTTTTCCCATTTTGCTTCCCAATAATAGGAATAGTTTTGGCATAATCTGACTAAAATTGGGAATGGCACTTCTTTGGCAACCCAATTTAAAGAAACATGAGTAATTAGTTCTAACATACTCAGCACTTTTAAATAAGGGACATCATCACACAGAACCAAAGAAATTTGCCCAGAGACATAAAAAAGAGAAGAGGTAATTTGTAACCTGGATGAAGATGATTCATGAGGTTTGATGCTGGCACTGCGATCCCTTCTCACTGGAGCTGGCTCCAGCGTAGGTAATCCTGTGGCTGATGTTGTTGTGGTCCAAGTTGAGGACACCCTTCTCAGCAGTCCTGGAGGCAAACTTCTCCGTAAGCGCTGGAGAGAAATCACTTGCTTAGAGTTTATACAGGCTTACAAAAATTTTAAACATGCAGAAGAAAAACACTTCCATTTGATTAATTCTGCCTGACAACACCTAGCGAGGTACCTTAAATCTGAATTCTCCCAGGTATCATGGTGCCTACCTTCTATTGAAATCAACACAGCCAGTGCTTTAAATGTTTGGACGGTCTGGACCATCTTCCCTATTTCAAGTTTAAAAAACCATATATATCCACAGTCCCACAGCCACAGATGTTCAACGCTTGGAGCTCTCACTGGAGTCAGCCAATGTTGGTTGTGCTCTTTAAAAATTTTGGTCTTATATGATGTGGCCAAAGGCACTTAAACAAGTCATTAGGCCCATAAAGGTGACTGAGGGATTAGAGCACCTGTCATAAAAAGAAAGGCTGAGAGAGCTGGGATTGCTCAGTCTAAGAAGAGAAGGCTCAGGGGAGATCTTACCAATGTATATAAATACCTGAAGGGAGGGTGTAAAAAAGATGGAGCCAGGCTCTTTCCAGTGGTGTCCAGTGACAGGACAAGAGCCAATGGGGCACAAATTGAAATACAGGAAATTCCATTTAAATGTAAGAAAATATTTTTTATTGTGAGGATGATTGAACACTGAAAGAGGTTGCCCAGAGAGGTCGTGGAGTCTACATCCATGGAGATACTCAAACCCCAAGCGGACATCCTCCTGAGCAACGTGCTCTAGGTTAAGCCTAGAGAAACCTGCTACAGGCTCAACTTCCTTGAGCTGAAGGACTGGACTAGACAATCTCCGGACTGGACGAGACAATCTCCAGATGTAGTTTCAACCTCAACTATTCTGTGATTTAAACTGTCTTGAACGCTCAGAATCAGAGATTCAAGGCGAGAAAGGCTGTGAGAAAAATAAGGGAGGGGAGCTTCAACTTATTTTCCTGCTATATCTACCCAATCCAAAGATCACTTACTGAAATAAAACTTTCATGCTCTGGGATATGATGTCTCCTGAAAAGTTTAGAGAGAGCATCACTGTTTACAGCAGATTTTTCTTGACCACCCTGCATTTTTCTTTCACCTGACTCGGAATTCCTTTTCTACACTAATAGGACTCACATTGTTTTTCCAAACTTTTGAAAGCACACAGAGATAATAAAGGATGATGATAGAGAGTCTTTGTGGATCTAGATTTGCTGTTGCAGATGCTATAATTTTCTAAGATGCTTCTCTTGTAGTTCTTGTGAAGTGTTTATAATTGAGAACTTTAATAAATATGTCTCTGTGATGGAGAGATGGAGAGCTTTGACCTTGCCAGAGGGTTAAGAGATATGAGATGGAAGACACTTGTGGTTCTGAAGCTCAAACTTACAGATAAAGACGTTAACATATTATCTCCTTTCCCAAAATGCTCAGTGTCAGATGCTTAAGGTAAAGACGCTAAATCTGTATTTAGACAAATAAAGGACTGCAAACTATTAGTTTTATGAACCATAATACAGTTAGGTCAGTGAATTCTTCAGTCAAATTAGTCCTCTGTAGCATTAACTCATTTCTTCATCCTTCATTTCTCCCCTCCCCACTAGGTATTATGCAACAGCAAACTGGTATCTGTTCACTGTGTTTGCTCGTGTGATGGCAGTGTTCTTCCATGTAACTCTTCCCCTCAGAGCCTAGAGTACAGCCGTTATAGACATGTACACTAAAATAAACTGGAAAATGTGCTTAACAACCTGTGAACATCCATTTCACATATACAGCTGCTACATAGGCAAATAGGGTAATAATTATCATTACACTAAAATATATTAAAAAAAGCATCACAAGTGTTGCAATTCAGATGCTGGGAAATGCAGGAATGAATGCTGGCTGTGCCATTTGAACTGTTAAAACTTAAAAGCATTTGCCTGTGCAAATTTAATTTTACAAAGGAGATTGCAGGACAAAAGTATTTTGGTTTAGTTTCAAAAGTGAAATGTAAGCCTTTCAGGACAGCTAATTAGCAACAAACCTGCAATTCTAACTACTTCAAAGCTGATATGTTCTTTGTAGTGGTTCACTTACTAAATGTGGGTAGTTAACACTGGTTATTTCCTGTCAGATGCCTGAGCATTCATAAAGCCATCTGTCAAGGCAGTAATATATATTTTTTTCGCTGAATTTTCTTTTTCTTCTCAAGATCATTTCTCACAAGCTCACAACATTTGTCATACTAAGTATCGGGGTGATCTTTTTTGTTTGTTTGTTTGTTATACAACATTTTAAACTTGATCCAAAGCACCTGGAAGTCATCAATAGAGACTTTTTCATTGATTTCTGTAGGTTTCACACCTCTAGCGAAGGGAAGGAAGAAGAGGCTGAAATTCATACAGAATTTCAAATTCCAATCTTCAAAGTGGGCAAAAAGGTCCCTCATATTACTACTTAATTCCCCACTGCTCATTGACTAGGATAGTCACCCCACATGCAGTGGCTCAAGTCTTTAGAGTGGGAGGGAGATTTCTATGTGAGAAGTAATGGGGCAGACTTGTGAGTCTGGATGTTGAAAGGCTTTGGCTTGCTCTGCTCCCTATCTTTTCTTCTCTCTCAAGCTCCAACCAACACCTGTGAGGAAATATGCGCACTATCTATGTGAACTATCCCGTGTCGAACATCATCTTTTAAAGATGCCTGAACCAAAGTTAACCTGGCCATGAGTTGAAGGATACACAGGAATTATCTTACTGTGAAACCAACAGTCTACTTTAGCTGTCCTTTTACAGTAGAGTATGATTAGTGCATAAGATGTTAATCTGAAGCAAACAAGCAAAAAGCCCAGTGACATCTCCTGCTAGTCCAGTGCTGTCCCTTTAGGGAGAGCCAAGTTACAAGACGATAGACAGGGTCCAGTACTCACCTTGGGAATAGCTAGTTTCTCTCCTTTCTCCGGACATTCCTCTGAGTCAGAGCAGGTGTAGTTCTCACTGAAGGACACCAAAGGGTTCACCCTTGGCTTGTGGATGGCCTGGAAGGTTAACTGCGTATTAAGCAGGTTGCTCACTGTTCTCAGCGAAGTACACACGTTGGGGGGCAGCGAAGGATCTGCCAGAAGGTCTGTAATGAGCCCATGTGCTTCTCCCATGACAGCGATATCCACTGTGATACTGGTACCAGAAGACTAAAGAAGAAAAAAAATAATACATATAAGACAATAGAAATGAAAAACCTGCTGAGCAGTATCTAAAGCTGTGGTGAACTCTCTCCACAACTTTTGTTAAAGCGGTTACCCACAGACTGGAAAAACAATAACGTGAAATAATTCTTTAAAGAAGGAGAATCACGCTGAATAGATCGATCATCAGGCATAATGCTCACAGTCCGCAAAGAGTTTGGAATTTCATCATACCTGATTTCCCAGTTTTCACTATCCGCAGCTGACTTAGCCCATCTGAATGAATTGTTCAGGCTCCCTACAGAGACATAGTCAATAGCCAGGGGCTATTTGCACAAAGAATTTTGGAGACATAGCTTAGGATGGGAGGAGTCTCTCCTGAGAGATGCCTTTCTACTAACTACAGAGGCATCTAGAACAACTGATGTTCAATGCTTATGCTTAGATGAATAAAATGAATCCCAAGCATATACTGAGGTTTTAAAAATATCTCCACGTTATTAAAATACAGCATTCTGGTACAGTGGCAACAGCATTCTTCTCCAAGCAATTGCATATTGGGCAGCTACATCAAAATTGAAATAGAGTAAAAAGTGGATCTTCCAATCTTTATTTTATTCAGACAGAAGTGATAAGAATAGTTACTCTACAGACTTGTACGACCAATTCAGGTAGTCCTTACTTTCTCTTGGGTTTGAAATATATACCTACTTTACATATATCATTCAGGAAGAATTATTAACTAAAGTGATGCATAAGCAGAAATAATACCAAGGAGCAGTTTATATCACTGGCAGATCTTGCACACCCTACTCAGTACATATATATAATTGATCTGTAAATGACATACTGCAAAGCAACTGTGGCCCAGGCAAACTGTCTTCATACGTGTAGTCCATTCATCACGCACACAGGTAATCTAACACAGCTGTAGCACTGGGCTTCTAGTGCATGCACAAGAAGGTTGATCCATAAATGCATCTTTGGAGTTTCTCCAGAACTTCCCGACATTCAGCAGCTCCAACTACCATCTGTCCTAAAACCCAGTAGTGCAATATATTGCCACTAAAAGAAAGAGTCTATTGCCAAAAGCAGGAAAGTTGTCAAGTCTGTGAATTGACAGCTATGCGATACAATTGCAAAAGACTGAGGATCTTTAAAATCTACTAGAAGAACAGTGATACTAGATGCACACAGAAGTAGAACAACTAGGAAGGCAGGAGGCATATGAACTTTCAATGCAGCAGTGACATTTGAGCCTCACTAGCTGGTGCACCACAAATCACCATAAATTCTACATGGAATCGCTAATTCAAGACACTCCAAGACCGACCATTTTTCCCTTGCCGTGTTTCTGACACATAAGCTCAATCCTGCTGCTACTATTTGGGACTTTTCAGCAGGTATACGTGCAGTTTGCCAGACAGACCATTCCAGGAGATTTTGTACTAATTTGTTTTTACGTATTTCTTAGAAAAATCTAAGATACAGTTTTCCAAATGGGGAAGTTATGCCTATGAAAAGAGCATTCGGGTTTCTTGGAGTGGCAAATACATAGCACGGAGAATTGGGCAGACTGCTTAGCAGGAGAGAGATCAGAGCCCTGGCCAGGAGTGACTCACCAGTGATAGCATTTATGGACCTCACAACACATCAAAGAACAGCGTAACAGAGCTTGACACTGCTTCGTTCTCACAAAAGGCTTTACAAGCAATAGCAAAGTATTTCTAAGGAAAGTGATATATTAGCTAAGTATAGCTAAACCTCTCCCCACTATCTTCCCAATTGTGTAGTGTGGACATCAGGCCCTTAGCAATAGCTGTTTCACTCCACTGATTCACTCCTCATGTTCTACTTGCTAACACAGAGGTAAGCCGCAGGACCAGAAGACAGGCTTCCTCACTCACCATCCTCTCATGCAACCAGAAAAGCAGCCTCTTCTTCCCACATTTCTTTTCTTTGTCATGATACCAAATAAAATAAACCATAAACTGTTTGATATAATGAAGTGCTATTTCATCCTACTGAAAAAAAGTAATGGCTGAAGTTAATTTAATGGCTCTTTCATTGCTTAACCTCTCAGGAGTGCATGCAGAAGATTCTGGCAGATGCTAAAGAAAATTCTTAAAAAGGCTCGGGATGGGAGGAATTAATTATCTATCTTAACCTCAGCCCTGAAAAACAGACCAAAGGGGAGTGAGGGAGAATGCATCATCCAAAGTGCGATAGAAGCCTCATATTTTCAGCAAAACTGCACAATCTACAATTTGAAATTCTATTAAGCCTGGAGCCTGGAGCTGTTGACTGCCGATCAGAGACAGAGATTAATACTTCAATGAAGTAAACAAGTCTGACTCAGCGGGCCATGAGCAGAGGCCCAGATTTTGTACAGCAGTACTAATATTTTGCAAAGCAGCCAGCATTGTTCTCCATGATTAGTACCAAGTGGGGAGAGGGAGAGCCCTTCTCTACTCAATGGTGTGTTTCTGCCACATGGCCTCCGACGTGTGGGGAGGCCTTTTCACATCTTGGTGACCCTTGCCTTGACTCTGGGACCCAGCAGATTTGTCCGTCTAAAACGCCAGGCTATGCTGAGTTATGCGAGGAGCTGGTGCTGAGGCCATATAGCCCAGGAAGAGAGACACCACACACCCGGTCTGCATCCTCCCTCCTGAGCTGTGCCAGCACCTCACTGAAAAGGACAGTCTGCTCTCAAACCGAGTTAGGTACTCACATACATAACACAGAGTAACACTGCTGCAGCCCATGCCCTAGCAGAACACAGTGGAAGTGAAGCGATTCTCTCTTTGGAAGAGTGCCTTGCACCTGGGAAAGGTTTCAGAGCTCAGCAATAGCAGAGATGATATCACCTCACCCTCTGCAAGATGAGCTATTCCTACAGCAAGGTGGCAGGACCTTTTGCACTTTTGACCAAAAGGGCACTACCTGCAGATCAGATGCTTTCAACTGACACCTCACACGAAACCCATGCAGCCGTCCACCCCGCCCACAAGAAGCACACCCAGAGAGGTCAGCTCCATGCCTGTAAGGAGGTGGAGGTGCAGGCTGAGTGTCCCTCACCAGGGCTGAAACGAGATGCATATCCTGCCAGCATAGCCCAGCCAGGGTCACCAGAAATCATCAACAGTTGCCAATTTGTGCAACATGACATACTGCATTGCACAATACTTCAGAGTGAAAACACTTTACACAGTATTTCAAAGACATCACTGTATTGTAGTGAGCTGCTTTAAACAGTACTTATATATATCATAGTTACAGTATTGTTTGAAATACTCACAATGCTTAGAATCCTTAGAATGAGAGCATATGTCAAAGGAAAACAGACCAAGCTTAAATTCCTCTCCAAGAAAGAAGCAGAAGAGGGTAAACATTGCTCTAATCCATCAATTTCAGTACATTAACACCACATCCTTTTTTTTTTTGCATGTTGTAATTTAATTGCACAGAACTTGTATACAGGAAAACAGTTGCTTTTTCGAGCAGTTTGAACATTTCATCTATCTCTGGATGACTTTAGAGTACTATCAGTCTAGTCTGACAGGTATTTAAATTACTATTTTCTAAAAACAGCTACAAATTGAATGCATGAAAACTTCAAAAAATATTTTATTTTTTGATTCTCTACTACAAAACAGCAGAGAACTGTGTATGCTTTGCAAATCATTACTCAGAAAGTAAACTAAAATGTGTTTCCCTAAAGGTCAAGGAAACCTGGAATTTTTAAATAAAATCCATATGGTGATGTGAAACAATATAAAGATTTATGCAAGATGGTAAATCACTGAAAATTTTAGATTGATGTAATTGTATATATGCATATACACACATGTGCACACATATACACACACAGAGTCTTTTTTTAGGGTAAAAGTGCATGCAAAATCCATGCTCAGACTTTGTAAGTAGTTTTCTACTAACGTGCATAGCCTCTGCATGAACTGATTTTTTTTTTTTGGATTCTTTCCAAACCACTTTACTCATCGAAACTCAAAGGCCGGATACTTGGGAATAGAGGCATGAGTAACATGTTTGCAATCAACACTAATAAACAACTAACTTGATAAAACAAAATAAAAAACAAAAGAGCTAAGCTAAGGTGAACTTAATTTAACACTGGTCAATATTCATTTACCAATCTATGCTAATAATTGCGAATACAGTTTCCTCCCATAAATTCTGGAAGAGATTCGCTTACTGCTCACTTTGTGACTTCATTCCAACTCTGATTTAAGCGATGTCATGCAGTGACTATAACTGAAGTACTCTAGAGCTTGAGAATGAGAAAGCAAACAGGCTGGAAACAAAAAGCAAAACCAGATCAACTAAACATGCTGATTGATAACTAAGGTAAGGAGCAAAATAAATTCCTTACAATGTTAAAAACTAGCTGGTTTTGTGCTTTCTTTCCTCCCTCCCCCCTTCTTTTTTTAAACTGGCATTTGGGTGGGTGTTTTAGGCTGTGGTACCACCTGGAACTCCTAACTGGGCCGAAATGCACTTACTGTATGTTTTGGGGTTTCTTTTTAAGTACAAAAATAGTAGAAAGGATTTTCCCCTAAAGAACTCGTATGAAAAATAAGATGGCAAGATCACAATAGGATGCACTAGAGACCAGGGACAGACGTGCACAGTTCACAGCACCAACTGTGCAATCATCTAAGTTTGCATGGGTGGGGGCTTACTGGGAATTGGCAAGAAAACTTTCACGTACCAGGAAGTGCACATACTGCTGCAACTGCAGGACCAAATCACAAGTAGCATGTCCCACTGTCACACAGACAATTTTTGTCAGGGCAGGAAACTTATCTTCAAGGAACACTCTTAAATGCAATATGCAAACAATATTCTAGTATACTTTAATGTTCACTTACAATTTTTAGGTTTGAATAGTTTGTTCTGGATTCTGTAACATGGCTAGAAAAAAAACTTTCATAATTTGCATAACCTTCTGTAGGCTTCTATATTACATTTCACAAAATCCC